TTTGTGGATTTTGGATGTTACTGTACTTTGCTATATGGCCAACAAGAGTCAGAGTGGTGTAGTGGTTTGAATGTTAGACTATGGCTCAGGAGACCAGGGTTTGATACCCTACTTGGGCAAGAAACCCACTGGCTGATTTTGGGCAAGTCACACTCTCTCAGCCTCAGGGGATGTCAATGGCAACTCCTCTGAACAAATCTTACTAAGAAAATCCTGTAACAGGTTCATTGTGTTTGTACAAGTTTGAGTGTCGGATCAGTCATCTGGGATCACAGTTCAATTCCCCATGAAGCCACAGAAATCTATCGGGTAACCTTGGGCAAATCATGCTATCTCGGCCTCAAAAGGCAAAGGCAACCCCCTCTGAATAAATCTATATTTGTATATTATAGATTTCAAACTTCTGTCCAGGAGGAATCTCAAAATGTCCTCCCTTTTGAGCATGACTAAGAAGTATGAATTCATATTAAGTGTTTGTAGCTTAAGTTTTACATTAAATGTTTTTAATCCAACATTATTCTTGAATGTCAAACATTTTGTGGTGCCTTATCCTCCTTTGTTCATGACCTACATTTTTTCTGCATGTCTGACATTTTGCAGGGCCTTGTCCTCCTTTGTGGTTAGGCAATCAGGTCATGCTCAAAATGAATGCTTCTTAGACATGCTCAAAATGGAGGACATCCTAAAATTCCCCCTGGGCAGAAAGTTTAAATGTATGATGTGTCCTGGAAAAGGAAGATACCTGGTTACCTAACCACAAAGGAGAACAAGCTATATGGTGGCATAGTGGTTTGAATGTTGGACTATGACTCTGGAGACCAGAGTTCAATTCCCTCTCAGCTATAGGAAACCAAGTAGGTGACCTTAGGCAAGTCACATTCTCTCAGCCTCAGGGGAAGGTAATGACAAAGCCCCTCTGAATAAACAAGCCAAGAAAATCATGCAATAGGGTCATGCAGAAATGATCTGAAGGCTCACACAACTCCCCCCATGCAAAAATACTCTCTCTCAGCCTCAGAGGATGCCAATAGCAAACGTCTTCTAACAAACCTTGAAATGAAAACCCCAGGAAAAGACCTGAAGGCTTACAACAAACCACCTCCCCAGTGCAAAAATATTTTCTCTCAGCCTCAGGTGACCACAATAGCAAACTCCCTCTAACAAATCTTGCAAAGAAAACTCTGGGATAGGGTCACACAGAAGTGACTTGAAGCCTCACAACACACCCCACTGCCAAGGCTCAGAGGAGGAGGAAGAGAATGAAATGGCTTCCCCCTGGGGGACTGTGCCTTGTGGGGGGGGGGCAGAACTTCCACCCCTCATTATTGTGGCTTTATTTTGCAGAGTGAACCAGGCCTTAGCAGGGAGTCGGGTCAGCTGTGCCTCCCTGCTCTTCCCTCCTTTGGCTGCTGCATATCAGCTCAGATGGCTTTGCTTGCAACAAATGGCACATATGCCATGGGCTTGCCAACATGGCAAGGCAGAATCAAAACGTGTTGACCAGCAGTTAAGGTTACAAGAAAAAACAATATAGTTTAGAATAAGTGTAGGATGTGTCCTGTTATACATCTAGATAGAAAATGCATGTAAGCATGTAGGATCCAGCCACTGGACATACTAAAACCATGTGCCAAAAGCAAATATTTGCATAACATCAACATATTTTAGGTGAAGTGATTAATTTCTTTGTAAGGGGTTGTCCACACAAATGGCCCAAATTCCTCCTGGCATTGCATTATCTAGTTTAGTTAACACAGGCAAAAACTCATGGTGTGATCAGACCTAGTCCCACCAGTACACATATGAATCTGGAAGATCCAGTCTAACCCTGAGGTAAATAGCCTTTGCACTGAGGTAAAACAGCCCTGTTTTTGTGTGGAGTTTCTAAGAAGCTCCACAGCCAAACTGAGGTGTTCTGACAGCTACCCCACGCTCCTTACCTTGTCAGTGTGTGAACCATCTGAGAAGTCTCTCTGTGTGATGCATAAATGGGGCAGCTGGCCACATAGGTGTAGCTGGGCACCCTGTTTCCACATCAGATGTGGTGACTGGGGAGCTTCTCAGATGGTTCACATGCCAGCAAGGTATATAATGGTCCCAGGTCCTGGGCTGGTGTGGGATGGGATGGGTGTGTGAATAACTCCCTATCTAACCTTGGTGAGCATTGGGTGAAGGATAGCATAGGCTCAGCCCATGCTATCCTGGCCCATCTGCTCTGGCTCTAAAAAGATTTAATGATTGATAGCAAACATCAGTTTTGATGTATATGAAGCATAGTTTAAGGGCCAAAGAGATTTTAGATACTGAGACTGGGATTGTTTTCCATTTATTTACATCACAGGGCAATAAGTCTTTATTTCACTGATTTCTAAATTGAGTGTTATCAAATGTTTCAATGTTCTGATATGCTTTTCCACAAATAATTGTAAAACACATCTAGAATAATGGAATGTGAAAATTAGAAGGGGCCACCAGGACCATACCAATCCTCTGCCATGCAGGAATACACAACTAAAGCCTCCTTTAAAAACTTGTTGGCTTCAATATCTTTGAAAGTATAAGTAGTGATTCTAACACAGAACAACTGATTGAGCTATTCAGAAATGATAGTATATAAATTGACACCAATCAGTTATAAAATTGTTATGCAGCACCAGAAGATAAATACTGTGTAGATGGAAATATTGAAAATGGCAAAAATTCCTGCTCTGGACTTACTTATTGAAGTAATGTATAAACCACACAGACAGCCTATTTGTGTCACAAATGGATTGTCTCATAATTTTAAAATCAGCATTATCTTGCAAAGTTAATTTAGCATGACTGCATAAATCAATCAAATTGTAGTTGACAAGAAATCATACACCATGGCAAGCTGGCTGTAGAAATTTCAGGAAACACCATCCCTTTCTCCTTTAGATGGATAGCATCTAAGGAAGTCCAGCCAAAAAGTTTAGCCAAATAAGTTGATTTCAAAATCAGCCATAATTGCCAGCAATTTTTATGAGTCAAAATGCATGATTTATAGTATAAATTCAAGTCTGGAAATTGAAATGCAATTTAAGAAAATGAGAATTTAATCTTTATAAAGCAAAAATAAAAATGTAGTGGTGAAGGCCACCATAAACGTTTCCTAAATATGAAATAATAACAAGATGTTTCAAATAACATACAAAGTACATGGCAGACCATTCATTTAAAATAGTTGAATTTACCCCTCATAGCTTAATCAGAGTGATAGCCACTTATCCAAATCAAGAGATATTCCATCTGACAGATCAGCAAATGGGTTATGTTGCCATACAATAAGGGATTGTGAATTATATCTGTCACTTCCTGTCTTCACTTGAAGTCAAGTTGCATGGCCAACTACCATAAGTGACATGTTAATTCATTTTCAGAATTATATATGATCCAAAGAATTTGAAGCATAACTACTTATCCTGAAACCCCTGAGTCATCATTTGGATTGATAGTGACTTGTATGAGACAACCAAATAAACTAAAGAGGAATTTGAACATAGGGTTCTCAAATCAAAACCATACATATTGTCTGATATACTACATTAGCTATGTTGCCAGGATAAAACTTAACTGACTACAATCCTAAGGGGGGTTACATCTAAATAAACACATATGTGATTGTGTTGCAAATTCCTATTCATACATTAGTTGAATGAATCAGGCATTTCATGTCAGATTTTTAAAAAAGTTTCCTTAAAAATGGAATTTCCTAATGGCAACTTTCTGACTGTAGACCAAACCAAAATAAAAATTTGCCTATTGTTATTTTCCAAACTCAAAGACATCATCATGCTTGGATCAGTATGCAAAAAGTTCTTGCTGAACTTTTAAGACTAACTGAGGTCTCAGCCAGATGGGGCAAAGCCTGATCTCCCCATTCAAGGTCAGCCACCACAACAGACTGCTGACAAGGAGCACTTTTTTACACTCCTTTTTGCACCAGGTTTGGGCCATCTTAGGCAGCCATGGGCATGCTTTATCTGAACGCCACACTCCCAGATTGCCCCAAAGGTGTTGCTTTTGGCCCATCTGTTTCAGATCCAAGAGTAAAAAGTTGGTAGCATAAGCTTTTTTAGAAGTAAGACTATTTCAGCACATCTGATGAAGTAGACTTAAGTCTGAGACAGCTTACACTACCAACCTCTTTTTCTCAGTTAGTCTCAAAGGTGCTACAAGATCCCTTTGCAGTCTTAACTCAAAACACTTTATAGCTGTGTTGCTCTTTCTTTTCCTTTTAACTTCTTTTTTCCTTATGAATCATGCATTACTTGCCTGCTCTCATGCATTCAGTTTTGCTATGTGACATGACCAGTATCTTCCAGCCATAAGTGTATTAGTAGTGTCATTAAAAAAATCTAAGAAATGATTGAACTCAGCAGGGGGTTACAACTGTACCTTGGGAAGGGAAATGTAATATGTAAATAGTTTCAGATGTATTCCTCTATATAAATGACAAAGCAGTTATAGTGCTACAATATAGACTTCTATAAAGGTTCTCTAGAAGCAGTAGCGAGGAAGTAGTTTTTAGTGTTGTGTACTATATGTTGATATGTTTGTTTGTTAAGTCTTATTTGTTTTGTTTTGTTTGTATGTTTTTTAATATTTCAATAAAAATTAAAAAAAATCTGAGAAATGATTTGACCTTCTACTAAAAGACACATAGAAGATAGCAAAATAGTAATGAACATGTGCTGTTCACCTACCAAAGTACTTCAGCATAAAATAGTCTAGGAATAGGTAAAACCTGTCCTTTAGTTTCCCAACTATTGCCCTCTTTCATCAACATTCATGTTCAAATCTTTATAGTGCAGATTTTTTTCAAAGTGTTATTATGGATATTGTTATCTCCAATTCACTTTACTAACCATTAAATTCCTCATACCAGATTACATACATGATCCTGCACAGTTTAAAACAATACAAAAACAATGCCTTTAAAAATTCAGTTTTCTTAATTTCATACTACATTGCACACTTTTTGGAGAATATTACTTATTTACTTATTGATTTTTCAGATCTACTGAAAATATTTTCAATCAGATTCCCTATTTGAAACATTCTTTTGCAAATGTGATGTCAAAAAGAACAACCCACA